GCAACTATATTAATATAGTTGCATAATAACTATAAAAAATAATAAACTGAACATTTCCAAGAGGGTCCTCTCACCATCGGTGCTCGGGCCCTAATAAGGGGAGTTATTAGTTATTAGCGCATTAACCTTTTAGCGGAGCTAACCGAACATTTATTTTCCAAACTGCTGCGATACAACAAACAACGCTATAAAACATTGCCAGATTCAGATTAATCTGTTTCGGTAAAATCTCAACCTGCTTTTAGCACTTCTTACTGGACATTTAAATTTGAAAGTGTTGTGCAAGAAGCGTAAAATCATTTTGCAAAAATTTGTTGCCACTAGCACTTTTTTTATTTCAATGAGCTTGTATGGTTACATTTATAATGGAAAAATGAATGAAATGAGAAATAAATGTTATATGTACCAATAAGCATTTTACAAAAGAAACTAGTGGTAAACAAATTATAGTGGAGCAACCTGAGATCAATTTATAAGTTTATGGGTTTCCCTTTCTGTCAAAACTTTAACCAATCGACAAATAATACTCTCAATGGATGGTTGTTTTGCATTCAAAAGCTTTGTCCATTACCAATATTAAAAGCAACGTTGTTGGACATCTTCAGTTTGAGTTTAATGAGGATGTTTTCAGGACTGTTTGTTCACTGTATTAGTAGCAATATGTAAAATGTAAATGAACTGTAAAATCTCTTTGTTTCCTGTTAGTAATTCAAATGCATTTCATTTTTTTTTTATTAATGTAGTCCTGAGCCGCATTGGGTCGTTGTCCTCCGCCTCCACACCTGCTGGGTCTGGATTAGTCTGTGCCTCTCCACTAACGTCAAAACTCTCCACGGGCCTTAGGAGAATTCCATATGATGGATCACCTCTGCTCTGCTTGAGTCAGCGGCCACCCTTGTGCCATCATGTTTTATCCAGCGTCATATTCGTCTACATGTTGAATTTTATTAAGGTAACCTGTAGTCTTAAGTTATGATTTCATGTGGTCTGTTTTACACTCATTTTGGAGCAAAATCCAAATTTAGCTAATTTTTAAATGTCAAATCTTAACCTTTGTTCGAGCCTTTGTTGTATCAGTGTTCTCTCTGTGACATCTTCACATTTGCAACAGCTGTATTTGGAAACTATTATCCACTCGAGTGGCTAAATAGCAGGCATCAGATTTTATCAAAGCTGACATATCGTCATCTTGATCTGATTTCTCTATATAATACCCTCTACAGGATTCAACGTGTATGAATCAAATTACTGTGAGGTCGTGTCGGTTGCCAATACGATAGTGTTAGTTTGCCTTTGTCATTTGAGCAAGTTTGCACTGAATATCATTGGATTTGGCTGTAGCAGTTACAAACAGTGGAGTGACAAACTCTGACATGTTTTAATGCCGTTATAAGAAATCTACCATGATAAAATATCATAACAATACCAGAACTAACTGTTCACTGTAAAACAATATTGATGGTTTAACTTAAAAAAGTAAGTAACCTGGTTGCCTTAAAATTTTAAGTTCATTGAACTGGGAAAAAGTGAGTTAATACACTGAATTAGAATGATTTAATCATCAGAAACTCAAAATTATATGTTATCTGAACTAAATAAATTATTTAAGTTGATTTGACAAAAGAAAAAATGTTGTGATTACTACACTGTAAAAAATATTGTTGGTTTAACATAAAAAAGTAAGTAACCTGGGTTGCCTTAAAATTTTAAGTTGATTGAACTGGAAAAAGTGAGTTAATACAATGAAGGAGATTAATTTAATCATCAGAAACTCAAAATAATAAGTTATCTCAACTAAATAAATTGTTATAAAGTTGATTTGACAAAAGAAAAATGTTGTGATAACAAATCTTGAAAATATTTTTTTACAGTGTTGTATAAACCCCTGCAATTCATGAACCTTTCCTTTTCTGCCAACCATTGGCCATTTCCATTCAAATGTTAACTCTTGAATTAAAACGTAACCAATTCTGAATTTTGCGTAGCCCTGCTTGCTGCAATTGGCATATTACTCTTCAGTCCTTATTAATGTCTTTGCTTCTCAATCCAAGGCTTATGCATTTCTTTTCAAAACAACTAAACATTGCCTTTCTTTTTGGCAGCACTGTGATATTTCTCCCTACCTGGGTGTGGATTCTGCTGTAGGATTCATATAAAAAAGACGTCATTTTGAGTCTGGCTGATCAGAGAGGTCTGGATAACCCCTTGATTCATTCCCACAGCTCAGATTCTGATTATAATAGACTAAATCCCCTCTTCATTCCTGCCATGACAAACCTTTGCACTTGCCAGGCTCTTCACTTGCACTGTAAGCTCTTAGCAGGAATTTTCTACAAGTGGAATCACGACTGATATGGAAGCTTTGTGATTTCCAGTGACCCAGCTGAGTTTGATGTGATTGACGAGAATGCTTTGGATGTCTGCATGTACTGATGTTCAGATGATGCACAAAGGCCTATTGTCTATAGCTACTAGCAGAATGGAAGCGATTTACAGATTGATTCTTCAGTAAACAGGCGCTGCTCTTCATTTTATGCCATGTGATACTGAATTTATTAGCATGGTGTTAGTAGTTTGTATTTTGCTTTAACACCCAATAATATTCACTTGTATTTTATGATGATGATGATGATGATGCATTTTATTTATGATGCGCTTTTCTCCAACCCAAAGCACTACACAGTACGATAAACAATAATTAAAAACAGAAAAATCAAAAAAACGATTTGGAACGTAAGGAACAACTAGATCACAAAAGTATTCCGGTGCTATCCCATGAATTGTGTTATATGTTAAAATCAAGATTTTAAAATCGATATGTGCTGTTACTGGAAGCCAATTGAGTTTGTAAAGAACAGGTGAAATATGCTGCTATAAATATAAATGCTGAACAAAGTCGGCCCTAGCACTGAACCCTGTGGGACACCCTGGTGAACTAATGTGGCCTCTAATATAGATTTTTTTTACCCCATGCAAACATACTAAAAACGATCTACTAAATAGGACTCAAAGCATTTGAACACAACACCATATATGCCAAACAACACACGCAACCTGTTAAGAAGGATGATGTGAGATTGCAGTCTCAGTGCTGTGACCAGAACTGAAACCAGACTGAAACGGTTCCAATAAGTTGTTATTGGATAGATATTGCTGTAACTGCCCAACAACAACTCATTCGAGAACCTTTGCCACAAAGGGCTGGTTCGCAATAGGCCACACATTTCACAAATTATTTATGAAATTTTGAAGACACCTCCTTGGAAGTTAATGCATGTGTTTTGGTGCACAAAACATTTGGTAACTCTTTACAATAATGTTTAATTTGTTAACATTAGTAGTTAACATGAACTAACAATGAACAATGTGATTTGGCAGCAATTATTAATCTTAGTTCATGTAAATCTCAGCATTTACTGACACATATTTAAGATCAAAAGTTGCAGCTGATAAATTGTAACATGATCATTTTTATAACCTAACATTATCAACAGTTAATAAATGCTGTAAATATAGATTTCTTATTGTTAGATTGTTAGTTAATCCATTAACTAATGTTAACTAATGATACCTTTATTGTAAAGTGTTAGCAAACATTTGGACAAAGATAGTCTCAAAACTACCATTTTATTTCTGTCAGGCATTCCATCAAATAATAGCACACCACAGACCTAATTTTTCAATTTTCTCTTCTGACACTTTTATTCTCAGGTGGGGCACGAAACACTTTAGAATTGGTTAGTTTCAAAACAAGCTGCAGCAAATAACTTTAAAGGACAATCTGTCATGGGACATAACTGTCGAACCATAACAGTGTTGGTGCTTTAAAAACCACATGCCACATATATAATTTTAAAGAAACTGAGGAGCCGTTTACACAACACTGTTTTCTAAAAACAGAAAACTCTTTATGTGTTTTGGCCGTTCGTTTACATGTCAATGCCGTTTTGGGGGCCTGAAAATGTTTTTGTATAGGCTATTGTAGGGAATAACGGGCTTGGTTGTATAGGGGAATTACAGTTAGACCACATTAAGGATAAAGAAACATTACTTATGGTCATATGGATAATCAGCTACCACAAGAATAAAGCTCAAACTGACAATTATCTTTCTATAAAATGACTATTGGTTATATAAGCAAATTAAGTAAACATGTAGGCATAGGACTACATATTTATTCTCTGGAAGCCTGGGCTAAATGTGTAAACACGGTTACTGCATTCATGACATGGGTCAGACCCTCAGTCACCTATCAGATAAAGACATTGCCTGTAACATAATTACCAGGTTTTAAGAAAACTATGATTTTCAATTCATTGATGTAAATCCACCCCGTTCCGTTGGCACAATTTTGTCTGTTTTATACCAAATGAGCTTTCATTTGCACCAAATTGTAATTAGGAGTAAAACTGACTCATTTAATGCCTCATAATATAATTGTGTTAATGATTAAAGTTTTGTCACATCCTATATGCACAGTAAAACAATAATCATTTTTAAACTGAACACTACGCAACTACATACTGTATGATATACTTATTTTTATGATTATGATTCATTTTTACAGTAGCCTATTATAACACTTTTTAAATCATTGTTGACAACTTGACAAAAACACCTATAAGACGAACTTTGTTTCGCTAAATTAGTAAAGGGTTATGTTTACGCAAAATCGAAAAGCTGCTTTGTTTGGAAATTGAACACTCTGTGACATTGCTTATTGACAGTCAGACAAAGCTTAATTTTAGTGCGCGAAATGTGACTGCCCTTTACATTTACAATTCACAGGCCTAATACGAATTAGTCCAGTCGACGTTTGTGTATTATTGTGTGATCATCATTTTTTAAAACAGACCCCACTGAAAGCCATTGTAATAAGTCACACATAGAATAATGAACAAAAATGCTAAAAAAAATAGAAACCACTAAGGAATGTGGGGATCACGAAGACTTTCACATCTACTAGCTGATTTGCTGATGCCATTTTCAATCATTGTTCTATTCGAGTTGGGTCAGAAACACACACACACACACACACACACACACACACACACACACACACACACACACACACACACAGAGCAGTGAACAAACACGAGATGGGTTGGTGTGGTGATGAACACAGACCGTCGCTGGCTGAGCTCTATTGTATCTCTATAGCGTAGCGTCACATCACCTCGAGCGCTGCGCGTGGACTGTCCTCGCTGCAGTAATCGCTGCGCCTCTCCTTTCACCCCAAAGAAACCTCACCGCAGCTGACAGCAGATTAGTGAGCACTTATTGCGTTTACCTTTTACTGTCGCCCGAAGCAGGAATCGCCAGACATTCTTTTGGCTCTCCTTTACGGTAAGCCCATCTATGACTGTGTTTTCGCCGGAATAAGCAACCCTTAGAAAGTCGTTATGGATTGACGTGGCGATTGTTGAGCTGGCTCATTTAGGCTATCTGCAGCATTGCAATGCATTTATTCGTCACAGATAATGTAATGTGCATGGTTTATGATATTTCAGAACACTTTTGCATAACTCCTCACCCTGGTAACTTTATTATGTTATAGCTAAGCTTTAGCAAAATGTATATGAATCAATGATTTCACAAATACCACGAGTTAACAACTAAAGGACACAGTAGTAAAGTTGAGGTAAAAAATGTGAGCTTGCTATAACAAATAAAATGGACACTGGTTGACAATGGCCCCAGGTGTACATGTCTGAGACAGCTGTGTGTCATTGCTACACTGTCATACTGGGCTCTGTGAGAAATGTCTGCACACATTGGTGAATGCATAACATTTTTCTCCTTGACAGTTTAAGAAAAACGCCAAAGCCAACCGAGCATTAAAATTAATTTTTAATGTCCTACGGGGCAGTTTATCCTTCATAATTGTCCTATACTATTTGTTCTAAAATATCTAGTTTTTGTTTTGTTATGATGGATTCCCATTGTCATGACTTAGTTAGATTCGATTTCATATTATGATAATGAAATTCCAACAAGATTACTTTAGGATTTTTGGACTAGGGGGATATCATAATACTGTGTTATTGCTGTTTTTATAGATCAGAAGGAAAAAAAAGACTTTCCTCACTACTAATACAGTTTCTTATACACTGCAGGATCAAGGGCGATATGAGCACAGTGACATGCATTTCCTATAATCAGCTACCCACAATCTTACAGCCTCAAGGTGATTTTGCGAAATAATGAAAAAGTAAATGTTTGTTATATAATGCGTATTTCCAAATAAGCTGGATGTGCTAAATCACTTGGCTAGCTAAATTCACATGTGACATAATCTGTCAGGCTTGTGTGGATGTGAACACTGTTGTGATGAGTCGACTCATGGTTTAAAACGCCCTTTTGATCTCTGGACAGGGCTCAGTTTGCATAGTCATCATAATGCCTGCTAGTCAGTTCTTAGGTGACATGAATGCTTGTACAACATAACACAGGATCGTTGTGTTGATCATTCATGAAACAGCATTTTCTGTGGTACAAACAATGAGCTCAACATAGCACCATTTTAAATCAGAATATGGCGTGTGTTCTACCTCGTTTCTACTACTTTGAATATACACCACTGCTAGTCCGTGTGTACGCCAAAGATCAGTTTCATCAATCTGCATTACAGCAGTGTCGCGTAAAAAGGCAAAATCATTTTAAAAGATCGATTCAACCTGAGCGTTATAGTCACAGGGGACCGAGTATTCTCTCTGGTCTCCTGTTGCAGTAGAAATAGCACTGATGCAGCCTAAATGGAAAATGGAGTGGACTATTGCTTTGTAGAAAGACAGGCTCTTCGGTTCCTTTTATAGCCTGCAGTGACCAATTCGTTTCAACAGCAACAGTAGGGAGATCAGATCAGTGCTTCGTGTACAGATGGACCTTATTGTTCAGACTTACACTTCCCTTTTTTAATCCACCTAGAATGATGCAATGAGTCGCAATATCTCATTTTTGGATCTTATTATTATTTATACTGGGCAAGTTCAGTTCTAAAAGTTGAACTAGGTCTTGTAAAGCTTTTGGAACTGAAACAAGTCTTATACAACCCTGAAACAAGATTCTTATGCATTTGTTAGAGCACTCCTAAATATTATAGATATTATTTCTCTAGCTATTTTTAATCATTGCGCCAGAGTTTATTGAAAGTAACTTTAAATTCGGACAGTCTCTTTCAGTAGCTACTCCAAAGTCCGAACAAATTTTTTTGCATTTTACAGCGGGTGAATCTCTAGTTGTTTCTGGTGATTGTCATTTGAACCTTTCTGGATTTGCCATGAAATTAATAAGATAAATTATATTAAGTGCTGTGAGAAAAGGCTATAAATCTCCACACAATATAGCTTATACTAGCCGAGACTCCTTCTTTATGTGTACAGATGTGACGTAATGACGCAAAGACATGCCCAATCTCCCGCGGAAATCCACCAGTACCACTGGACTGCAGCTTTAATTGGCAGAAATAGTGTAAATCTTTGAATTGAGGAGAACAAACGTTTTTTGGAATTCCTGTTGACCAGTTATTGGATTATTTGAACCTTCAATTTTGTGGCTTGACGGAAATCATGTAAATCTTTGACAACGATGGGATCATCTTGAGGAGGATTGAACTAGGAACGATGCTGATTATCTAATTAGTTTGAAAACATAAATCACACTCACTAAGAGGGAACAAGCGGCACAAGGATGCATTATCGCTGCTGATTCATAGTCAGTTTCAGCAGGGCAGCTGTTTTTAGCACTCTTGAATCTGCTCTATGCTGTGCTTTTTCTCATGGGTGGATCCCTCATTAAGAATGGTATTCCCCAAGGAAACTGGGCTTCCAATGCACTCAGCAGATCAGGGTTACACTCCTGCCATTAAAAGCTCACAATCTGATGCTGTGCATTGGTTGGTGTTCTCATTTTCATCATGGATAAACTGTAGTTTTGTAGTATTTTCTAGAGAACAATCAAGATTTATGTCATTTACTCAGCCATTTGCGCGAAAATAAAATGCTGCTGTGTGGGAAACTAAATTAGCGCTCATTATCGTCAGCATCGCTGCTCGTTTGTCAGTCTCAGACTGAAAATGAATTTTAATGAACTTTGAAGTGCAATGTTCTCATCTAGTATTTACGTGAGCCTCGATGAGTGTGATGAGAGCTCATCTCTATGATTTAGCAGTGGTGAACAAATTAAACAGCGTCAGAATTACTCAGAATTTCATCCATAGCACTGCTGCCATGCTATGCTTCTGTCTATCTCCATCTGTCTCTCTCTTTTCATTGTATCCAATATTAATGTAGCAGAAGAAATCGGCTTTTTAGATTTGCCACAAAAAAAAAGAAAGAGGAAATGTCACATTGAAGCTTAGGAAGTGATGACCTTTTAATAATTATGCGAACGATGATTTAATTATCTCATTTCCCTGACAGTTACGCACACATCTAGCCATCAAGGGGGAAAAGGGCTTACATGCCTCTCTTACAAGCAAATGTGTGCAGAATAAAACACTATACATCTTCTAAAAATTATAATTAAAGGCTGAAATTGGATTTCAGTAACTCTTTAGTTTAGGGTCCAATTCTCACAATTTAGTTGCTTATTAGCATGGATAATATTAGGATACTGGCTGTTTAAAGCACATATTAATGCTGTATTCTGCTGACCATATTCTAACATCCCTTAATCCTGCCCGATACCTAAACTTACTTAACAACTACCTTATAAGTGGTAATTAGGAGTTTATTGAGGCAAAAGTTGTATAGTTAGTTGACAGCGAGATGATGACCCTAATCTGATAATGGATGCTCTCATCCTTAGTATTATGCACTGACTCAGTCTATTCTGGAACGTATTCTAGGTTCTCTCTCACTTTCTCTAATGTGTTAAGAGTGTGAACACCTTCAAATTATGGAACATCACCATGTTTTGACAAGATCTTTCAAGGAAAAAAATCTGTAACAAGCATTTTCTCTGGTGGCCTCAGACGTTTGGTCAGAGTGTTTATTTCATTGATCTAAGCCTACTTTAAAATAAATGTATTCAGCCAGCATGAAATTATATAATCCACAATGAATCACTCAAGCCATCATTTTTATTCGACTGCACGGCTTGCTTAGTCTTATTTTAGCCTTGATATTAATTTTGAAATGAGTATTTCCACCCATGTACATTTAGTATATTAGTGTGTGTGCGCTTAGCAAAATGACTTAATATCCCATTCAATTTGTATAGTCCCTCTCATCTACCATTCCAGCCGGATCCGACTCTATTCCATGCCGTACGCGAGAGACCATGAATTTTCTTGGCAATGTTTTTCCGGGGTAGGTTGCCAGGTCTTTCCTCAACTCTACCCATTACATGGCTTTGGATTCTCACACATGCATTCACACCTACGGCTATTTTTGGCATGTACAATCCAACTAGAGCACCCGAAGGGAAACCCACGCTGACACAACATGCAAACTCCACACAGAAAGGACTCCTGGCTCAGCCGGGCCTTGAACCGGGGACCTTTTTGCTGTGACTGACAGTGAGCCACTGTGCCTCCCTAGTTTGTTGTCCTCATACTAATCCTGTGTTTTGACCCCCTTTTCGAACTGTGTTTTTCTTAAAGAATTACCCCAGTGTGCATGCCAAAGGCAACAATGGCAAGGAAAGACTTCATAGTATGTTTGAAATGAAGAAGAACCCTTGGGAGGATCCAGACTCACTTAGAAAAGACCACCTCTTATTGAAACCATTTTATGCTCCAATCTGTGAAACGTGCCTTTTTAAGTTAGATTTTAATGGGGATTATTATTCTGAATTTTGTAAGGTTTTAAACATTCTCTCTTTCAATTTCAAATAAATGCTGTTATATTGGAATATATATTCATCATAAAATCCTGAAAACAGTACCACTGTACTACCCAAAACCAACATTGATATTAATAAGAAATGTTTCTAGAGCATCAAATAAGCATATTAGTATGATTTTTTTAGGATCATGTGACTGCTGAAAATTCTGCTTTGCCATAACAGGAATAAGTTACATTTTAAAATATATTAAATTAGAAAACAATAATATATCTCACAGTATTGCTGTTTTTACTGTATTTGATTAAATAAATGCAGCCTTGGTGAGCATAAGAGACTTCTTTCATTTTATCAATCCCAAAGTGAGGGACTTTAATGGCCTGTAGTTTATTCAGTTAAATCAATTACAGCTCAAAGTGAGATCACAGCTGGGTTTTTTTTTTCTGTTCCTTGCAGAAACCATGGGGAAACAGAACAGCAAGCTGACCCCTGAGGTAATGGAGGACCTGGTGAAGACCACAGAATTTAATGAACACGAACTCAAACAGTGGTACAAAGGCTTCCTGAAGGATTGCCCAACTGGCCGACTCAACCTGGATGAGTTCCAGCAGCTGTATGTTAAGGTAGAGACCCTAGTCGCTCCCTAGTTGCTCTGTGATACATTTCTCTATGTGCTGGCTTTTTGTTGGTCTTGTTCTAGGCTGAAGAGTCATTGAGAAGTGCATCAGATGCACCATGTGATTTACAAGCGAGTGGAAGAGCCCTCTGAGTCATTCAGTGGGGTAGTCTGATGTATAACTGGCACCAAACTCGATTCAGATCTCCTGGGGTACGCTAGCTGGCCATGGGTGACTTATTTATTGCATGTCAAGCTCAAATAGTTGTTGTGGCATGTTTTGTAGTTTAGTCATTTAGATTTATGAGGTTATATATTTCAATTTTCGACTTTTTTTCAAGGAAACATTTTGCTGCACATAACACAATGTCTGCTGAGTTTACGTACTGTACAACCTTGCAGCTCCAATTATAACATGATGACACTTCCTGCTGCTTAATATGAATATGAATTATGTAAAGACATTATGCAAGATCATTTACTTCATCTAGTAACAGCCAGAGTAAATAACCACAGGTCTCACGGCTCTTCTCAGAAACCACAATGCTTCAAATTGGCTCGAAATGAAAAGAAAGAATGGAAACCTGCTGTACGCCAAGCCTTTTAGTGATCAGGGATAGCGGTTTTCCGCACAAGGATATCAATAAGAGTTTTATTAAAATCCAAGGAAGAGGAAATGGATGACCTTGCTTTAGCAGGGCGCTGAGTTCCTGCGGACTGAGTGATTGTGTGTGTGTGTGTGTGTGTGTGTGTGTGTGGTAGGTTCAGGTATACCCTAAGTTATGGGGCACGGCACAATGTCCCCACAAAGATGGCAATCATTGTCCTTGTGGGCACATTTTTTGGTCCCCATGAAGAAAACAGCTTATAAATCATACAAAATCTTTTTGTTTCATATAATTGCTGTTCTTTTGCAATTTCTATTCACCAAAAAATGCTGAAAACGTATCACAAAATTGTTAAGCAGCACAGCTGTTTTCAACATTGATGATAATAAGAAATGTTTCTTGAGCACCAAATCATCATATTTTAATAATTTCTAAAAGATAATGTGATTGCTGAAAATTCAGCTTTGCCATTACAGAAATAAATTACATTTTAAAGTATATTCAATTACAATTTTATTTTTTAGAAAACGTTGAAAGAGACTTCTTTCATCAGAATATTGTATTTTATCATTATATATATATATATATATATATATATATATATATATATATATATGTATAGTTACATACATGTATGTATATGTTGCTTATTGTTGTGTATTATTTAAATATTAATTTCTGAAATTTTATGTACATGGATTTATATGGATTATCAGCATGAACCTATAACTCTGGATGTTAGCTAGAAAATGTTTTCTGATATTTTATTTAGAATGAATACTACTTTCTGACAAGTGTTTTTCCTTACCACTCATTAGGTTTAAGGTATTTAAATGTTCTTTCTGTACTAATATATATATATTTTTCTATAGATGTAGAGGCAATAATCTGAGCTCCTTGATATGGTATAGAGGCAATAATATGTGTCCAGAAATGAGCATGCTTTGTGTAGACCAAGCTTAGGAGGTTGCTCGCATTTTCTTTCGTTCTGTTTTTGAGGAAGCCATATGGTTGCTAAATTTAGCATCTTTTTTCAATGATTCCTTTTCAATAATAAAATTGTTGCCAGACTAGACTGGGGATGAGATCAGTCCTATGGAAAAAAACGAACCATTCTATGAACTCACTCTGTTATCTGCAGACATTTGAGATAGTTAATATTCTTTCTTTGGGGTTTATGGAGTAGGTTGTGTAAGTCCAATTATTGCTAAGTAGTGCAGCCTAAACAAATAGATCATGTGCAGGACTGTGATGATGTGGTCATATCTATTGCTACCGGTGAAACTATTGAAAACATGCATCAAAGGTTGTCCCGATATAGGATTGACACAATATATGAACTTTTACTAAACAAACGTTATCCTTGTGCCTTTTGTCTTTATAAGACTCTGGAGTACTTGATTCTTATTGGTCAATAGTTGTATTGAGTGGTAAGAAGGAAGAACCAGTATGAGACATACAGAGCTGAATGAGAGGAAGCTCAATTGCAAATAATAATAATAATATATACACTAAAAAATACACATTATAAAGTTTGGGGTCTGTAAAATTAATACTTAATAGTTTAATTAATTTAATAGTTACAATTTAGATGTAGTAGTAGACCTATTTTGATTTCAGAGATTATATAATAATTCGATTATAGATAATTTATACATTATAGTAATAAATAAATTTAATCTTAACACGTCATTATTTCATATCCATATATTTTCTTATTCAGTAAGTACCTATGAAATATTGGGATAATGAGTCAACCAGTCATTATTAAAAAATAATCCATTTAAGGCTGATATAAGACCCCTCCAACTTGTTTAAGGGTTTATCGGTTGACGGTACAGTTTTACTGAGTTGGTACATTATTCCTTAAGTGTAACAAACAATGGAATGAATGAACATGGAGTCATGAAAATGGCTGGCTGGCTATTTAAAGAGACAATATGCACAAAGCCCTCATTTCTATTAATAGCATTTTACTCAATACCTCAGTTGGATATCTTTTCATACTAGTGCCACACTAACTACAGTACATGGGAAATGATTAACCTTGCGGCTAAACGCTGTGCATCGCCTCTGTGATTAATCTGCCAATAGTATCCAGAGGTGATGGCTGCACATGGTGTCAGTAGTGATCCCGTTTGCTGCAGTTTCAGATGTTAATACTACAACAGTGATGAGGTGCTGTGTACTGGACTTTAGGTTTGTTTTGTGCTAAATGAAGCACTTGAATGCTGTGTGTTCAGATCCAATCTAAGCCAGTTGAAAAGATGAGATACACAGTGATGTGGGGTGGTTGTTTTGGATACCAAAAATTTGACAGTAAATCTTTTAAATAGATGGGGGATGGGAGGACCCAAGGGACATTAGCTCTACCAGAGGATTCCAACGTGCTCCTGTTTGACACCAGTTTGTTACATCACCCGCCTAAGCAGACAGCTCAGACCTCGATCGTGTGGCCAAACGGAGGGCAGTGGTGGATCGAACATCGGCCCAGATCTGATCTCACATTTGCTGAAAGACAGGATGACGTCTGGTTTGCGGCCCAGGGGTCTTATTTATAAAACTGTGCGCAGGATCCTTACTAAAAGTGTACGTTCTTGCGTAGAAACGAGCGTATATGTTGGCGTAAGATTATGCTTGCACTCCTCTCACCGTCTGATTTATGAAGCTGTGCATACCTTTTTTAAGTTGCTTTATGGTTGTCTGTTAATTTTCCCTTTCCATAGATTGAACACGTGAAAACAAACACCGTCTGAGACAGCAGGCACATCATTGAAGTTGACTCCAATTGTAGTCACTATATAGATCTTGTACACTTTTATTTTCCCATGCTGAGCATGAAAAAACATGCATTGGCTGTCTGAACCTTGTTTTATATGTACAAATTGACCAGAAAGATCAAAGCAGGCTTTGGGAGTTTCTAGTGTTTCATTTATAACACAATAAATGAAGACATCACTTTAAATAGGATGTTACTTTATCTGTGTCATGGGAATTTTCCATTCCTCCTTGTGATTAATTAGATTATCTGTCAAATATACCCCATACTGTGTACAGATCATTCATTCATGAGATCAAGGCTAACACATCAGAACAAGAGGACATTTTGCTTTTTTTTTATCATGGCATCATGTGGACTGATTCATTGTTTTTACTGCAAAAATCAGATGAAACCATCCAAAAGGATCCTAATATGTCACAGTTGAGATTTGGCAGGTGAGGCTGAACAGCAGTTCATGTGTATTTAAGGACAGTAGCAGACGGGTTAAATCATTCCTTGTGTCGAGATGCAGTAATGAATGACCTACGTACTCTGGATTTATTGAAGTATCCATTTTGTCTAATGATAGCTTTGTGGAGAAGATGGAGGATCTTGGTGTCACACAAGGTTGTCTTTGTGAAGGAGACAAATTTCCTTTCTGCGATCAATAGGACGCCATCTTATTCCCCAGCCGCTGATCTTGTAAGATGACCTATCCGAGATAACAAGCCTTATAGTATGAAATTCCATTTTTAATGTTTCCAGAATCATTATCACAAATCCTTGTTTTTGATAAGATAGTCTATCAGTCTATCAATTTATTCACATGTATTTAATAATAATAATAATAATAATAATAATGACTTTTTTTTAAAACTATTTAAGTGTTTTGGAATTACACTATCAAAAGAATATTTGTTAGTCTCACAAAGCAGTGTATGACTCACACATGAATAAGCAAGCTTTAATATTAGTGGATTGGTTTTTGCTTTATTTTAGATAATGACTGTACTTAAAGGACAAGTTCTGTATTTTACACTTAAATCCCTTTTTTTTTTTTTTTTTCAGATGAAATAGAACGGTTAAGATTGAAATTTGGAACTCACCAAGTGGTCTGACTCTGGGGTGTTCACTGATATGCTCATTGCTCACACAAAAATCGCTGGAAAAGATGCTTTCCAACAGGTTTTTACAAAACTACGATGTTCATATCAGTGAACATCCCAGACCACTCGGTGAGTTTCACGTCTTTGTAAACTAAAGTTTAATTCGTTTTAGGAAGGATTTTTCCAGTGCACCTATGCAACCATTGTGGTGGTGGGGGGTGCAACCACAGAAACCGAAAATTCTCGGGCCAGCAGCATGTGTCCAAATTTCAATCTTAACCATTCTATTTCATCAGAAACGATCTTAAAACAGAGCTTTAAGTGTAAGATACCGAACTTGTCTTTTAATTCAATATCAAGAAAGTGATGCTTTTGAGTCATTGGCTGCGTCCGAAAACTTAGGCAACTGACTTGTTGCCTCACTGCCCTATTGTCTGCACACAAAGGTTCCTCACGATTTTGGACAGACCTCTGAGGCAGCGTAATGGTGTAATGATCGACACTACAGCAAAATAGATCAAGCTTTAGTGATAACTAAGCAAATATTCCATTATTTCGATAGTAATTTCCCGCTAGAAATTACATCAGAATTGGAAAACATTGGGCAACAACTTACTTTTACATACAAACTGACCACCAATCGCAACTTTCAGACAGCATCTTTTTTTTTGTTGTTACAGAATGGGAAGCACATGATTGTGAGATATCGAAGGCAGCGAAGGATACAAATGCTGCCTTCAAAAATCTATCAGATGAAGGTATCTCAGGAGACGTGAAGTGAAGCTAACATTGGATTTGAATGTCAGGATGCTAAAACCAAGGTTTTGATGGCTCCACACTATAAACAGCTTCATTTGGGACTGGGAGAGTTCTAGTTTGGTTGTGTTTTGCCTGAGGTGTGCTATAAAAAAAATCTAATTTATGACCTATTATGGGTATTTTATTTTATTTTATTTTTAGGGAATGGTCTGGGACAAACAAACACATTGCATCTATTTGAGGGCTTGCATATATGTTTGTATGTACCACAGCCTTGCCCCATGTGACTTCCTGTGACATGCGAGGGCAGGGTGGAAAATGCTCTGATGGGTCTCTTGATTAGCTGTGGCTCTAGCTGTTGTTTCTCTTCCCAATGTCACCTCAAGGTCTCCCACCAGCAGAGAACTGTGCTTGCCTCTGATCTATGGTCAATCGGGACGGGTATGTGTTATACATCATTCAGAGGAGGGCTTTTGGTTAGCCGGACACTTAAAAAGGGGGCTTGATTCCTATTTTATTTTATCCGACATATTCACCTGGGCTTAAATGCCTTGCTTAGGGGCACAGTGGCTCTCTCCAGTTCAAAGGTCACTCCCACTGGGGTCAGAATGTACATCCTTTCGATTACCAGCCCAGACCCTTAACCACTCCACTATAACCACTCTGTAAAGGGCAAATGAAAGAGCAGAGTTACATAAATATACATTAGGGGTGCAAAAGTAAATTGTGACAATATGCATCATGTATAATTCACCAAAAATTAACGTTTAAAGTTACATTTTTGCATCAGATACGGTAGTGGCACATCAAATATGATAAACCCAGAAGGTCACACATTTGAGCTTCCATGTTTGTTAAATATTATTAATAATTTAAAAATAAAATAGATTTATATATATTATATATATATTATAAAATAGATAAAATATTTAAAACATTTTTAAATGTATGTGCATGCATATATGTCTAAAATAATTCTTGATTTTTAGCTAAGCAAATTATTAAGTTATTAATTATTTCTGTTCTGGCGTCACCATTGCATTGTGCTTAGGGGAGAAGGAGCCAAACCTATTCAAGTACATGTAATACCACATTTAACATTTTAATGAATGGTACTTTTTATTAACTGTTTATCATATGCCTTTGATTTTATTTTGGCTTGGTTTAAAGTATCGTGAGATCAGTATTGTGTATTCAACCAAATCATTGGACTATTGTTACACCCCTAATAAACAGTCTTCTCAATGTAAAAGCAGGGACAACTCAAATAGTATTAGCAGTATGAATTTGAATTTGCTTGATTGCTTTCTTGTGAATGTTCACTAAAGCCAAACTGTTGTGGGCTATGTGGGCCATTGATTCAACTCTTATTACAAATGCCAACCTTATTGAGTCCTCAGTTTTAAATTAAGTTTGATTGCACTGAAAAGAAAAGCAGTTCTCTGAAATGTCAGCAAATCTGTCATTCCCAGAAAATTAAGGAAATTGCATTGCTGCGGCACTGCATCCTTAGTGGCCTTTAAATCAACCCTGACCGTTCATGGAAATAAATAAATGGTTTGTTTTTTCTTTCCATTCAGAATCTGATACGAAGTGAACGGTTAGGAATACAAAGTGTTTACATAATGCTATTTGGGGCTGTTGTAGTAATGGAAGGGTTTTGCCAGCCAAGCTCAATTATCCCTTGGGCACATTGCCCATATAATTCAATCAGTAGTGGCGAGGGGAGGGTGATTATCCATGACCCGTGTTAGTGAAGTCAGCTCTGTTTGTGGCGCTAACCCTCCTTAGGACATTACCTTAACCCAGTCCTGCTCCTTTGAGACCTTATTATCTTGTTGAAACGCATTGCACTTAAGAGGCCTAAGGGCTATAGCCGGTTTCATACACTGTATCATACAAATGGGAAGAATGTATTTGAGAGGTTAGTTTGGACTGGCTACAGCAAGAAGACTGTATACAGTAATCAAATGTTGTAGCTTGCAAAACTCACTGATAACGATTGATTTTGTAGTGATTTTTTAATCTTTTGCGTCTGAAAGTAAAAAAGTGTTTTGTCATTTGGTGCGTTTTCTTTCTGTACTATTGATGCTGTAAAAAAAGGTTAGGGGAAAAGCAGTGACATTTTTCAGCAAGGACACCTTAAATTGGTCAAAATTGACATCATAAAATTTCTATTTCAAATAAATGGGGTTCTTTTGATCTTTTCATTGAAGAAGCCTAAAATAAGTATCCACGTAAATTTTAAGCAGCACAGCTGTTTTAAAGATTGATAATAATAAGAAATGTTTCTTGAGAACCAAATCAGCATATTAGAATGATTCATTGCACTCTGTCTAACTGCCAGTCTAATTATTCGGGGCTGACTAGTCGTTCAGGCAACCCAATATTGATTCTTTGGATGACAGTGGATCTTTTGGCCATCGACAATGCTATTCTCATGGTTGTACCACTTGCACACATCAAGCTCACTAGTAATGACAGTGCAGCTGCAACAAACTGAGAAAATCTAGATCTGTAATGTGATATGGCATGACTTCATGACATTGCAACCTCCTCCGGCAATTCAAACATGTCTTTGAGAACCAAATTGAAAACTTTATAGACTGCAAAGAAGAAAAAAGGCATTTTAGGAGAAATGCAAACTGTTTATTTGATATTTTGCATGAAATATCCCTTTTTTAAATTATATGCATTATTTCCTGGAAATGGCTAATTCGACATTTATTGCCAAAGCATGTCATTACTACTCATAACATATGATATACAGTTGATCTGAAGAGCTCGAATTTGTTTTGTTTTTTATAGCTCCAACTCAAGTGTAAAAGCAGCCCAAACCCAGAACAACATGCCACCATCAGTTTACATAATGCATGTCTGAGCTCAGCGATGCTCATTATCATGCTCATTTAAATGTAGTACAGATGGTGCACTGTCTTTTGCTGAATCAGAGAGTTCTTCAATTTCACAGATTTTCTCCACCGGAGGATGACATTATGTCGTTGTGGCATTCACCTTCTGAATGCTTTCCTTGGCCTGTCATGAAGTAACTTGTGTATGTTGGGAGGAAAGGCAAGGTTGCATAAATTATAGGACATTGTTTATTCATGATTCATGCACTTGTAGAGAAGCACTTTGCTGTAAAGGAAGAAAAAGGCTTTTAAAATGTTCTTGTATGAAGAGTGGATGAGAACCAATGATGTGTAATTCATTTTCTTGATACATTTTTGTGCAATATTCTGTGACAAAATGGATAATTTTTCAAATTAAAAATCTTAAAAGGATAAGTGTGTTATTTTTTGTTAAAAGGGTAGGCTACGTTTTTGTTTTAGTTATTTAATATTTTTTTTAGTAAAGACAGAACTTTTTAGTGTGCTGCTGTTATCACTGTAATGTTTCATGATTTTCTTTTTTTTCTCTTTCTAATTTGTGTATTGACTGACAACAATAAATAAGCCATTCTTAAGCTGACTTTGTCCTGAAGAAAACACTGGTGCTTTCAAAACGTTACGGCCTGACATGACGCGATGACATGATAAGTGACATGGGTTTGGACCTGGACTACTAGTTAATTCAATTGTTAACTAAAACTATTAACAGATGTACAAATACATATGCAATAAGGTCAGCCGCAAAAATAATCCCGTCTATGCTTTTTTAGCGCTATTTTTTCACTGTGTGTCTTAGTAGATCCTGACAGTAGTTTGTTATGCGGCGAAAGAGGGTTTGCGCTGACGCAAGCTGTTAATAGATCTGGCCTACAGCGTTTTTTTTTATTTAAAGTCGGCATGAAATCAAATTTGACAAATCTTATTTTTATATCTAACATTGTAGTGTTTATTATAAATGATTTGTCTGTGCACTTCATTATTTTTTAAAAATTCATGTACCCTTATAATCTTTAATCAAATACATTTCACTTCCCTCCCACATTGAAACGACCTCTCGTCTATTTCGGTCACGTGGAATGGCGAAAGGGTGCGGCCAGATCCGATGAGGGTGCGGCTATCGGTGCACCTCCTCTCAGAGAATCGCATTCAAATCTGCCTGCATTTTACAGTATATGCAACGCCCAACCTCCAACGATCCAATCAATTCCCGAAGGACGAAATCCGAAGATTTTTTCTCTAATTTCAGAACCCGTTTCACTCGGATATACGTCACAAAAAGGAAAAAATGACAATCTCAACTTCTGTTTTATGCCGACTTTAAAGGGTTTTGGTGGTTATCATGGCAATGTTACCCTCTGCTGGTACATGCCTTAATTACACAACTTGGAAAAAAAGCATTTCAAAATTAGATTAGCATTCTGATTAAATACAATTTTGCAAGCAACATATCATCAATATTTCATTAGTAGATGTTTTACCAGTATCCAATTCCTGTTTATAGGGCTCAAATACCTGACTTATAGTGACTATCACAAGATGGTTCCTAGCAAAGGGTTTGAGACAGTGCACATTGCAGGTATCTATGAAATGTATTCTGATGAAGAATTAATCAGTTTAAATAAATAGAAGAACTCATTGGTTATCCTGAAGTCTTCAAAATGAGTGCTGTCACTATCTTACAGCTGTTTCTCATAGTAGGCGTCTGATTATGTTGACCCGTGTTTAGGTACTGTATGTGTGTTTTGTTTGAGATATGGCAGTCTTCCAGCAGAGGCATTACCATCCACCCAGTTAGTATTATCACCACTGAGGTCAGACCTGCTGTAGAAGCCACTTCATTTGAACTGCACAGTGAGCCCTCAACAGCTGTCTCTCCGTTGCTCACTGTGGAGGTTTATATGTGTGATGACAGTGATGGCAGCTGGCATGGTGACTTAGATGTAGTAGGAATGTGCTTTTGATGTATGTCTGATGGCAAGCAGGAGAATCTGAATCTGTATTTCTTGCTGAGAACATTTATACCCTGTTGTGCTGTCTTCTGGTCCTGTAACTCAGAGTGTAGCAATCCCACGCTCACGGGGAACACACTGATAAAGTCAAGAGAAGAGTCATGATGGGTGAAGTAGTCAGTTAGTGAGGTTGATTAGACAAAGATATTAAAATAGAAAGCTTTTAATACCGATAAGTCATTAATTGTTTGTTGTTTTTATGACCGACAATCAATAAATGGTAGATAATAGAATTGATACAATTAAAAATAAAGAAAAAATAATAAACAATGTATATTTGTGTGTGTGTATATGTGTATACTGTATAAGTGTGTATATGTATATACTGTATAGTAATTATAGACTGTAAAAAATATTGTTGGTTTAACTTATAAAAGTAAGTAACCTGGTTGCCTTAATTTTAAGTTCATTGAAATGGAAAAAGTGAGTTAATACAATGAAGGAGAATGATTTAATCATCAGAAACTCAAAATTATATGTTATCTGAACTAAATAAATTATTTAAGTTGATTTGACAAAAGAAAAAATGTTGTGATTGCTAATTACGAAAAGATTTTTTTACAGTGTACAATAAAAATATAGGCTACTTAAAAAGACAAATTCAATATCATTGAATATATGAGATTTCTTTAGTCAAAAAGTTTAAATGGGTTTTGATTATTTATATATATATATATATATAATTTTTAATGTTTAAAAAAAAATCCTGATTGTTTTATAAAAGCCTTTGTCAAATGAAGTTTATTAGACAAAAGAAACATGAGTAATGCTTCATTCATTCCACTGTTGTTTGCACCATCCTGGATGTTCAGGCATTATATTTCGCTGTGCACATTTAATAGGTTCAGTTACTCTGATATCCTATGCTGCCCCTTGAGGAAATCCATGACTTTAACACCGTTAAATGGCCTGCATTAGGAGCAGCGTGACAGGGATGGTGTAAACTGTCTCAGACGTGGCTAAGGTTGGCATCAGTTTGTGCTCTGATTACACAGGCTTTTAGTGGCTGGACCCTCCAGGCCGTTTCTGTGGTCGTGCAGTTTACCTCACACCCTTCATCAATGTAATTCAACAGCTGTGTAAAGGCAGGCTGTCTCTCTCACCCTTGTATTCTCACCAGGAGTCTTTCTCACCTTCTCGCTCATTTATATTTATTTAGTTAGCACATCCATTTATCCAAAGCGACTCCCAATTTATTTCTACAGAGACAGTCAACCTGGAGAAGTTTGGGGTTAATTGTTTTACTGGGCTTGCTTATCTTGGACACTTGACATTCAACAATATTATTGATCTGACTGTACTGACACTGTTGTATGAGAACTGAACTATCATTTTTTGCAGAACTGCTTTATAGATGAATGAACTAATTTGATAATTGATGATCTTCACAACGGAACTGAATCACACTATCAGCTGAACAGTTGCAGTGCAGAAATGTTTCATTTTCCTGTTATCACAGTAAAGCTGCTTTGAAACAATCTGTACTGTAAAAAAAAAATGGTCTCACTGTAGTTTTTTTTTTTTTTTAAAAGGTCCTTCAGAGTTTTAAATTATGCATATGTATCCATACATTAAAGGTTAGTTTTCCCAAATATGAAGATTTGATCATCAATGATGCCATTCTAACCCCATAATTAATTATTTGGATGTTGGAACATTTCTGAGCTGTTGTGTTCTGGACAGCAAAAGTAGATTCTCTAACTCAAAGTGTTCTCTAAAGATCCTAAGTTTGGGTTGGTATGATTTTTTAATTTTCTTATCCTCACCAAGGCAGCATTTATGTGATCAAAAATACAGGAAAAAATGTGAAATGTTATTACAATTTAAAATAACTTGTCTATTTTCATAAATTTTACAATGTAATGTATTGCAACTCCTGTGCATGGCTTAATTTTTTACCATCCTTTAGTCTAGTCTTCAGAATCACATGATTCTTCAGAAACAGAGATCATTTTAATATGTTGATTTGGTGGAACATGTCCTAATATTAACAATACAAATAGTCAAACAGCTGTCTTTTGTACACTTTTTATCAACTTAAAGCACCCTTTTTGAAATAAAAATATTAATTTCTTACAAAAAAGTCTTACTGTTCTCAAACTTTTAAATATGTGGTTAATACACACAAATTGTATTTTTCTTTTTGGTCCATTTTGGATCTTGGCAACTAGAACACCATCCACTTTTCTTATTTGGAAAGAAAGCAGATCAGACAGCCTGTTGAAAATGTATTTTTGTTTTACACAAGAAATAAAATAATACAGGCAAGGACATTAGAGCGAGTAAATAATGGCATAATATGTCATTTTAGTTTCCTTTAACACAACCAATCTACTGTAAAACACAAATAAGCTGGTGTGTTATTCTGCATTATCTTGAATATAGCAAATGATCTCCTTTATGTACTCATCAGAGAATAACAGATACTTGGATCTGGATCAGGTGGCATTCTCATGTGATAACAAAACACATCATCTGATAGATCTTATATGCATGCGGAGATCTATTTCTACATTCGGATTGCGCTTGGATCCAAAACAAAGTGAAAAGAAGAATATTAATGTGATATATAATTCGAGAATTTCACACAGCCTTGCCCTAGATAGTTATGTAAAAAACGCTCTTTTACGTAACAAAACATTTCATAACCTGCCAGATTCGCACGGAAATACGTTTGTAGGGGGTCGCACAGCCCAGTAGCAGCTCTCCACTTCTTCATGACTTGCACTTTGTTTGTTTTCTTTTGCTCTCCTCTACTTTGGTGAAGGGCAAGGCCATATGGAGCAGAAGGGCCAGCCCCATGAGAGAATCATTTTGCATGTGTGCAGGGTACATCACAGTGTGCATTACTTCCTGTCTCAGCTCTCTCTTCTCCACACAGTGCCAGTCTGGCAGGGGCTTATGACCAGACCTGTACTTTCCCAGAGGGCTTTTGCTTTCTCGAGGAGTTAGACACTGTAAACTCTTTGATATATGTGAGCATGCTTCATCTTCACAGTGTGACGCTGTGTTGAATCGCTTGATTTTTTTTTCTTTCTTTCTGATGAAATCAAAGACCACTGCGGTTTGTGTGTTGGTGTCTTGTGTTCAAGTATATGTGCAGTGAAGTGTATCAGATACATTGTATCGCATGCTAATATTTTAGTTTGGGTTGCACTGCAAAAAATATAGTTTACTTTACTTATAGTCAGTTTTTTTATTTATATTTTCATAAAGACATTATTTAGTGTTGGCTGTTTATTAAGCCATTTTCCTCAGGACCATCGGCAGCTCCCCACAATGTAGGCAATTTCAAGTTTAGCTGTTGAGGGCACATTTGGTGCACAATCACACACACTTTTCTCCCGTTTGCTGCAAACTATGAGAATCTCATTTCCCAGTCTTTGAGCATGGCATCTGTTCCTAAGTGCTCAGAATTTTTTATTAGCTTAGTTCAGCCCTGCCATCACACTCCAGCGATTGCATCGTTTAATATTTAGCAGGCAAATAACTCAAATGTGAGGTTAGGTAACGTTTAAAAACATTTACACTGGCTTCTCAAATATGGAGTGATACACTAGCAATTCTCACCTATTGCATTTGCTCAAAAAAGACCATAATGTATTTTTGCATTTCCATTTCAGGTTAGAAAACATCATATATTTGTTGTCAGTGGTGTCTATAAATCTTCACTTTATATGAATGTCTGCATCGTGGCGCCAGCATGAAAACACTTTATCTCCCCCTGTCGCTCATTAGATTGGAAATCAGTGGTGTTTTGGGCACTGTAGGTGACAAATAGTGCTTTGGCTGGGACTGCATTGGGAATGGGTGAATGTAATTTTTGCCCTCAGTCACTGAGAGGGTAACAACATTAGAAAGGGAATGATGCTCTTCTTCAAAGAGGAGCCGTGTGCTGCTTTTGTAGGCCTCTTCTGCAATGAGGCAGGCACTGCACTGGGCATTGATGGCCTTAGTTAACACACATACTGTACACACACTCATCCACTTACCACTAAGATCTCCTGCATACATTGTGCTATCTGTGAAGTTACTGTTGTTTCAGCTTGATGCAACAAAATGACAGTTGAAGCACTAAAATGAAGCAGTTTTTTAATAGGAGAAAATATTATATGAGCATTTCCTACCAACAGAAATAACAGTAGTGAGGTCATTCCTGTGATTCAGTAGCTTTTCAACTCTGCTGCTTTTAAAAAATTATTTACTTCTATAATTAAAGGACGTACGCTACCGTTCAAAAATGTGGGACGGAAGGATCTTTTAATGTTTTTGAAAGAAGTATCTTATGCTCACCAAGGCTGGATTTATTTGGTCGAAAATACAGAAAAAGTAAAATAAAGTAATTTTATCCAGTTTAAAATAACTGTTTTCTATTTGAATATATTTTTTAAAATGTAATTTCAGTGATGACGAAGCTGAATGTTGCATGATCCTTCAGAAATCATTCTAAAATGCTGATTTTGTGCTCCAGAAACATTTGTTTATTATATTATCAATGTTGAAAACAGTTTCTGTGGATAAAATATTAGACTTTCAGGAATCTGCTTTGCTCGGGTTCAGGGACTTTGAGAGTTAGAATTGAGAGTTATCTTACTTAAGGGGTTGCTTAAAATGATTGATTTTAATCTTTTGGCATTTTTAAAAAGACTATCAAGATAGAAAGTGAATTTTAGGACAGAAACAAACATAGACTTAGATGACCAATCAAAAGAATATTGATCATACACTGATTAATTGTATTGTCTTTCCTCTTTTGTAGTTTTTTCCTTATGGTGATGCCTCAAAGTTTGCTCAGCACGCTTTCAGGACCTTCGACAAGAATGGAGACGGCACCATCGACTTCAGGGAGTTCATCTGTGCCCTGTCCATCACATCACGAGGCACCTTCGAACAGAAACTCAACTGGGCCTTTAACATGTACGACCTGGATGGAGACGGCAAAATCACACGAGTTGAGATGCTTGAGATCATTGAGGTACTCCATTCAGTCTGTTCTTCTGTTTACTTGCGTAATGAAAGATAATCAAAACTAAATAAAAATTTAAGCCACATAAGAAAAGCTGTTTTACTTTATATCAGTGATTGCCAAGGCCCCAACTGTCCTCAACATTTTTCAAGGCTACAGTTTTCTGTCTTCTACAAAAACAGTCTACAGTGGTCATGCTTTACTCTTGCTTTTTTTTTTTTTTTTTAAATATGTTGTACTCACAATTTCTATCAAATTAAATATTTAAGAGCTTGGCATAACTAGAAAAATGTATATTCTTTATAAAAATGTATTAAAATATTTAGATAATTTACATGATTTTTCCAAGCCTAGAAATGGACCATGAGAATGGATTTCACATTTTTAAAATTAGGCTACATCATATATCCAGGTTTTTCAAGACTGTGGGAATCTTGGTCATTCAAAGAAAAAAAAAGAAGCTGAGGGGGTTATTTCAAATAAATGTCTTGATTTTAATGTCTTGATTCGGTACATTTTAATGCTCATATTGTCTTAGAAACCATTGTTCTATGTCAATTTATTCCAAGCTCTGAAATATAATTGCAGATACACGCAATATCGGCCACCATATCGGTATTTTAATTTTTAATGCTATCGATATCTGCCCGATAAGAAAATGTGGCCAATATATTAAAGCCGATCAGTAATGGATTATGTCCATCAGCTGAGACACTTCAGATGTGCACTGTTCGCATGATGGTTTTAAATTCTTGAAATATAATTGGAATCACTTCAAAAAATAAAAATACATTTAAGTGCAACATGTGCAATGCAAGTATGTAATATAGACTACATAGAATTATAATGAGAACATTTGAGTTGTGTGCTTGGGGCATGGCTTTTAGGTGGTGAGACTTTTGTATTTGTAATCAGGCTCTAAAAAATTATTTAAAAATTCGGATTTAGGTTTTTCGGCTAATATTTTCATATTTCATATTTTTTAGGGTAGAAATTGTAGGTAAAATATTTCTTAAATTCTTATCCTTAATTCTTATACCAAAAAAATCATAAACAACTGGAAAATACATGGGGCATTCAAATATTGTTGTGGACAATGAGGAGCCTAATAGGAACTCTCTTGAGTTGGTTCTTATTTTGAATAAACCACAATTCTGTTCTATATAGTATAAATGTGTGTTGTATGAATGTAATCTGGACGTAACTATATTCGCCACGTTGTCATTATCATGTGACCTACCAGTGTCAGTTGCGTCGCTTCACTGCCATTCACAAATCCTCTCCGGTTGTCTAGTAAAATGTCCATCGAATCTCAGCGTACTTTTTGCCAACTCTTTTTATGAGTACTGTGAATTCAGACACACTTCTTTTGTCTCACTGTTCTCCACCTTCTTATATGATTTCGGATGCAGCTTAGGAGTCCAAATGTTTGAGGACCACTGTTCTGTGGAGTGAGTCGCCCCCTCATGGTCAGAGAGAGAGAGAGTGGACAGGAAATGGAGGGGGACTGACTCAGACTTTCCAAAAGATTTAAATCTAAATTGTTTTGCTTTTCTCATTTCAAGGCAATCTATAAGATGGTGGGGACTGTTATCATGATGAAGATGAACGAGGACGGCCTGACGCCCGAGCAACGGGTCGACAAAATCTTCAGTAAGATGGATAAGAACAACGACGACCAGATCTCATTGGAAGAGTTTAAAGAAGCAGCAAAGGGTGACCCCTCCATTGTATTACTGCTGCAGTGCGACCTGCAAAAATGAGCGTCTCGGAAAAGAGCCAGACTGCACAAATGATTAATGTTCCATTCAGTTTGCAGCTATTTCCACTGATAAAAAAAGTTGCTTGGACTACCTTTCAATGAATCCGCTTCCTGTGTTTGAAACACTTGTGTGCATGAGAATGTTCTTTGCTAATGAATTTCACATACGCACGCACACAAACACCTTTGCACACACAAATACTCTCACACACATACAATGCAAACGGATACGCATACAGACCTAAATAGAATTATATGAATATTAATATACATACATAGTAAGTTGTCAAAATGAACTGCCAATATGTGAAGAGTGTGCAAAGTACCTTCTGAATCCACTGGAGCTTGCGCATCATTGATGTGCTGTATTAAATCAAGCTACTATTTATTGTACCGATGCTAGCTATGTGTACTATATACTGCGTAATGTCAACCGAACTGATTCTTATGGTAATCGTAACTATTACGGATTTACCCATTCGTCTGGATGGACAAAAAGATAAGCTCATGTCCATCAAACTTTTCCCTTCAAATGTGCTTGTACTGTTGGTGAATATAAATGTAGTTTCTTTGCATGCCATTAGGTTTGCCTTAAGAATACTTCCCTCATTTGCATCCTGCATAAAGAATGATAACAAGCCTTACTTAAAAGAATAACAGCAGTAGAATTAGATGGATAATTCATTGGTTTTGCAAAGATCTTCAAATGTGGTGCACTAGACATGTATTTGTGATGCATTTATGGGAAAATGCTAGTATACTACACCTTCTATGTACATCACATGTTAGGGGGGTTACATGTGGCCGAATGTAATCGGCGAGAACAATTCCACCACGGAGACCAAGCATTCATTCTCATGGTGGAAATATTATGCCATGAAAAATATCCCCATATTAAACCTACAAGCTGTGCATTTTCTGAATGCACTTCAGAATGTGATCAAATGAAATAAATTGCATATCAGTGTGCAGATTAATGTGGGGCCCAGGCATGGAATGAATTTGTGAAGATCAATTTTGAGTTGTATCATTAGGTTTAAAGATGATTTTGCCTCAAACATGTATCTGTTGGAACTCCCCAGTCATTCTTGACAGCTGAAATTGTCCAAGACTGTATTTAATCATACTTTTTACACGCTGGAAGAACTCGTAACTGAGGGTTTTAAAGGTCAACCCTAATGTTATTACTTTTTAAATCCAAGCATTTGCACCAACTGCACATTTTGAGCACTGACTCTATTTCTTAATACGCACATTTCTGTGCTCCATTTGAAAGTACATTCTGCCAGTGTCAAGAGCTTTACACAAGCATAACCTTTGTCATTGTAATGTTTACCTACGTAGGCACCGCACCAAATTCATGCAATGGCAAACTTTTCCAATTTAAAAGTTATTTTGTACATGTAGCATGTATTGTGCCCCTGACGCCATGGCTGCACTAAGTCCTTGTGTTGTGGTTTAAACTAATAAAAGAGTATATGGGATATTTTTTCAATGTCTGGGTTTGATTTGAAAGGAGTTTGGTTGTCAATATGTAGATACTGAAATGTAGCACTTACCATATAATTTGTTAAAGGGATATAATAATATATATGATATATATATATAATATAATAAAAAATGAATACAATTTCAAGAAGTTTATTATTTCACCCATTACATGATGGGGGGCATGGGTTCTGGACCGCAAATCCAGTAAACTGTGATAACAGAAGAGGTCCGTTAGATGGCAGCAGAGTCTTGAATTCTAATAGTAAAGGCAAAACAAAAAGTACAGCCAATGTAAATAATGAATAACGAACAAATGCAAAATATATACTTAAATGAAAAATTACTTAAAACAGGCCTAAGCTATAACTAAATGAGAAAACAAAAATAAAGCAAAATATTAGGCTACACCTCGACAAAATACTGCATTATGAAGATTTTTAAAGTTTAACGATTATTTAACTTGGATATATAGCCTATTGCTATGTATTTTAAAGAGCTGAATTTACTACAATGAATGTGATTTGTTAATGAGCAATAAACGATAATATAGTAGTCTAGTAGTAAACTTTATGTTTTTTTCACGTTATAGAAACCAAATAAAACAAACCCAAATAGATCGAAATATGTGTAATAGACCAAAAAGTGTCGTTTCATTGGGGGCAACACAAAACGAGCAACTGGCATCTAATAATATGATATAATAATTAAGTTACATGAGTAGAATCGCAGCTTGACGTCACCTCACAGGGATCTGGCCGCAGTCTTCCCGGAAGAACGTCATCACACTGCGCGATCAAGCCAACATAGCAAAGTGCGCAGCTAGCTACTTAGCTTGTGCTAGCTGTTACAGATTATAGCGAAGTTGAGGACTTTTAACCCAAAGTTTGAGATTTTGTTTCTTTTAAACAGACCCAACCATGGCGATGCAAGCAGCTAAACGAGCGAATGTAAGTCCAGCTTTGGTTCAGATGATAGTTATGTTGATAGGTTGGCCCTCAAATGGCTAATCCACATATTCAAGATGGATGTTTATTGTTTTTTAGCTGGTATAAAAATAATCAATTACCTCTAAGACAAACAAGTAAGCGCTATTGCTAGTGGTTTGATAATTTATATATTCCCTGCTTTTGTATTTATACGTTTGGACATGTTATTTAGGACTCGAATTCCTTTTTTTTTAGTACAGAAATGTGGGTAAAATATATTTATCATGTTTCGTCCAATTCATAAATTCAGTTTCATTTGAAGCACTTGAGGATGTTCAAATTTTTTAAATGGTGGCGTGGTTTGGCTTTTAATGATATGAAACTAAAACATTATTTTCCATTCATGTGTATCTCAATGTTCCTCTTTGCTGCTATGTTTCAGATTCGTTTACCTCCAGAGGTGAACAGGATATTGTATATACGTAACCTTCCATACAAGATCACTGCAGAGGAGATGTATGACATCTTTGGAAAGTACGGGCCAATTCGTCAAATCAGAGTGTGAGTATTAGTTTATTTCTCACATTGGCATACCGATATGCTTGACAGACATATAAAGTAACTTCTCATTCATTCAACCACTCAACATACTCATGTGTCATTAATCACATTTATACATTTGTAAGTGCAGAAACTGATTGTACTTTTGTTCTTTCAGTGGGAACACACCAGAAACGAGAGGAACAGCCTATGTTGTATATGAAGATATCTTTGATGCCAAAAATGCCTGTGATCACCTTTCTGGATTCAACGTCTGCAACAGATACTTAGTTGTATTGTACTATAATGCAAACAGGGTGAGTTTAACTGTTTTTGTCTTTGATTCAATCACAGTGCTGGGTAGATTACTTACAAATTGTAGTCCATTACTGAATACAAATGACATTTTATAAATTATAGTCACAAAATTTACAATGGTAATTACATTTTTCACACATTTTAGGTCATATATTCTTTATTATTTTTGACCCAACTTGTTTATAACCAGGGCTTGACATTAACCCGCCAAATCAGGGTGGATTTCACATGTGGCGAGTAACACAGACACTCCCACTAGACACTTTGGCGTGTTGAAAAATTTTAGTCTTGTCAAAAGACATCTGACATAACAAACTCCAGTTACTCAGAGCTACATGATGATAATTAAGTCAGAGCTCTGAGGAAATGCTAATGCAAAACAAAAAATCAAAAGTCCTCAAAACTGTCATGTAGGCCTATATAAAGTTGTAATCCTCGTATATCCTAGTAAAAATGCTGCTTGGCTAGTAATTTTGGAAAATCACTAGCCACATTGGCTAATGAGCAAAAAAGGTAATGTCAAAAAATATTATATTTATTTATGCTGTGCGGCCTCTCAATTTTCCAATTAATATGTATTATAATCTAATTTGATTTTTGGAATCTGATTACATAATCTAGAAGATTACATATAATCAGGTGCTACTCAACACGTACAACTTGATAGTGAGCATTTCAAAAAAGTGTTCATGTTTCTGTAATTGTTAAATTAGTGTTTAACCAATAAGGATACATAAATGGCAATTACGATCCTCTTTTCTGTTACAAACCCGGATATCTTTCGTCTGGGGAACACAACACAAAGATGGATATTATGCAAAATGTCCAAGCTGTTCCTTTCCATAAAATTATTCATTTTTGGATAAAACTTTGACATGTTATTAGCAATGAGAATGTGATAATAAGTTGTTACCTTTGTCCCCCTCAGGCTTTCCAAAAAATGGACACAAAGAAAAAGGAGGAGCAGCTGAAACTTCTCAAAGAGAAGTACGGGATAAACACAGACCCACCGAAATAGTCAACATAGGTTTTTTTGTGTGGTTTTTTTCTGTTGTTGTTTTTCCCACCTTGCATCCATCTCCTTTTTCCTTCATCCCATTAAGTAATGATGTTTTTTTATGTAAGCTGAACAGTGTTCATTACTTGTCATTACTTAGTCTTGTTATATATATTGACCCCATTTATTTTTCTGTGAGTTCTGTTAATATTGAATAAATTGGCATTTATTCATCAACATTTGTCTTATTAAATCAGTGATTTCTTTTTTAAATATAATTGTCTGGTGTCTTATTTGCACGTTTTTATTTATCTAGTTTCACAGTTCCAGAGTTTAAAATCTAGTGTTTACAAATTAAATTGAATATAATGACTTGATTTATTAACACTTGGATTCACATTTCTCTGATTATCTGATTCTATTATTAATAAAATGTTGCATAAAACAACACAATGTATATTACTTTACTTGTAATTGCAACGCTTGTAATTAATTGCAAAATAAGTCAATTTTTAAATAATAAATTTGCATGTATGGCATTGGTTATGCAGTAACAAAGTGGGTATAGAGATGAGATTGAGAAAGGGAAAAAAACTTTTTGCTGCCTTAAAATATTTTGTATACTTTATGTCTGAAATTAAACAATTTATCTGTTTAGTAATCAAGCATTATTATTCAGTATATTTCGTTGGATTACTATTGGACATTTGTCGCTTCCGTTTTTAATGCACTTCCGTCTGACCATAAATGAGCCAATCATCTGCACGCGCTAGTCTAGAACGAGGCGCGAAAGCGACAGTCGTGTCATAATTTCTTCGTTTGAACAAGGTTTGTTGAAACAGTAGTTGAGTAGCTACCTACAGTAGTGCTACGCTTACCCTGATTTTTGTAAAACTGATTCTTAGTTGTTCGCTAGACCTAATATAAGTATCACGTGGTGAAAATCCATTTTTCGGTTTGCGTGCCTTTAATCCGTCTCGACGGTTGACAAGAAGCCAAGATGTCGTCGGTGAACAGTGAAACAAAAGCGGAATCTACCCTAAAGTGGTGAGTGTTCGAAATAAGTGTTCGTTTTATGTTGGGTATATATATTAAATGTGTGCGGATTAAAATGAGCGACATTTGTCGAGATTGTTTTGTCGTATTTTAGTCATTCGCACAACACTGGGGAAAGTCACCCTGGAACTCTGGATGGGTTTAACGTTAATTTATTGAGTTAACGTTATTTAATCTAATTCACTTGCTGTGGGAGAGAGTTTTGTAAGTCAAACATTTGAATGTAACGTTAAAATTGTTGCGTATTGATATGCTAGAGGCGGAGTCCAGTTAGTTAACTTTAGCTAAGTTACTCGTTGGCCATCTTTTTTATTCGCGCACTTTCTTGTAGACCTGACGCTTTATTGACGCTAACGTTACAGTATAGCGATGTAAAATGCTGATTTTCAATTAATTAAGGATTCTAACTTATATAGAATGGCAATTCGTTTTATGCTACTTGTTTATGTCGTGTTGGTAATCAGAGGCCGCACCTGTTACAATCTCACAGATCTCACATTTGTGAGGTCAGCTGACAGACTCCTCCCAAAAGCACATTTTCTAATTTCCTCGTGTTTCTTTACTTTTATACTGTTAAATGTCAAATTGTTGTAGCTTCCACCTGGTGTTTTGAGCTAAACTGGGGGGTTATGTAAAAGGCGTTTTCAGTATGGAAGCACATGGGTAGCAATATTCAATTTGAAATGTAATATGAAGAGTTCAGATGCAAAAGCCTCTAAATGCCATTTGAAATTTTCTTCTTTAATGATGATTTTTATCAAACTTGTATATTTAAGTTCAGTGATTTCACTTAAATAACAATTAATAGGTAATTATCATTGCCATTTAGGTGAAATTACTGTACTTAAATATACAAGTTTGATAAAAATCATCATTAAAGAAGAACATTTCAAATGGCATTTAGAGGCTTTTGCATCTGAACTCTTCATATGCAAAATGACAATGCAATGTGTAAAATGGCATTGCATTCTGTATTTAAATGCACATTTTACATTACCATTCTAGCAACGTTTGGTGCAAAATGAAAATGAAATTACATTTGCCATTTCACACACTAGTTTTAATATGCATATTGAAACGCTTTATAAGTGGCAAAATGAAAATGCATTACAGAAATGATTAGATTACTGTTCAAGCAAAAACTGTGGCAAAATGATCATTCAAATG